CAGTAGCTATAGGCAAAAAAACGGACGCTTTAGAACCCCTTTAAGGTACATTTTCCTGTCCAACATACCAAATCAGACAGGCATAAATGGACCTGTGATAGATTGTACTGGCCACGGGGTGAAGTAATTGCTGGCTACAATGTTAGCAATAGGTTGAAACAGGCGGTCAGTTACAAAATGGGTTAACTCACCTAAACAGGGTGTGGAGAGAAGGTTTTAAAAAGGAGATGCAGCTAACAGGTCACTGGGAAGAGAGAGACTGTGAAGCACAGACCTCCCAGGCTGCTGCACTAGAGGTATAGTGAGACCTGAGAAAATGTTTTGTTTGTTTGGAAGGTGTTTAAAGGCTTAGCTTGGCACCTTTATTCAGTGAGGGTGAAACTGTTTTCTATGTGTAGGTAGATCTCTGACAGAGATAGGCTTTTTGTTTATGTATTTTTGTTACCAGCTGGCTTGAGAAGACTCAGTGCTGTTTGTGAAAAAGTTGTCACTGAGTACAATAAACTTCCCTGCTAAGGACTTTTGGACTCCAGCCTCTACAAGTTTATCGCTTACTGACTGCATTGTGACACAGTGTTACCAGGAGCAGGCCCACACTGTTACAGGATCCTTAACCCCTTCATGACTGAGCTTGTTTTTAGTTTCTGTTCGTAAATGACTGACACACTTTTGACATTTTTGCTGTGTGATTCTTCCACGTCAGTAATATACTTTCTTACAAAGTGCACCCACACATATTATATATTGTTTTTTAGAGGACAGATAGGGCTACATATTTATATCACATATGTGCGTCTAACGCCTCACTTAGGACAAATAAAATATAAAAAAAGAGGAAAAAACCGTTTAAAAAAAACACTTTTTTCCCAGTTTTGATTTGTAGTATTTTTTTTACAAAACCAGCACAGCTAAAAAAATGCAATAAATACATTCATTTATTTGTCCCTTATTTTATTTTATTTTTTACACATTTTTTTATTTTTTTTACACTTTTCACAATTTTTTTTTTTTTTTACACTTTTCACTTTTTTTTTTAACTTAAAAATGTTATTTTATTTATTTAATTATATCAAGCAGATTTTGTGAATTAATCTCACTGTTACTGCATGATAAATTAATAAATTTTTGGTTATTATCAGGCTGCTTCAAACTTCAGAACAGCCGATAATAAGTTAGTGACACTGATCCTGCAGCAGTTCAGGATTCAGCTGTTACTAAATGTTTTCTGATTGTTGCAACAACGATCAGCAAACAAACATTCTTCTTCCAGGAATAGATACATTGTAGGAATAGACACATTTTGTATCTATTCATGAAAGAAAAAAAAAAAGCCAGTATAGCTTGAGAGAGATATCTCTCGATCTATACGAGCTGTCAGAATGCCGGCAAAAGCCGGCATCTGTGTCCGCTTTGCTTTGACTCTCAGACACCCGATATTAAGGTATCGGGTGTCTGAAAAAGGTTAACCCTTTCATTAATGAATGCCTCTGTAGTAAGGGCATCCATTAATGAATGTTAAAAGCTGATTCTCAGCGATTAACAGCCCTCTAAAGCAGCAAATAACTCGTCACGTACAGTGTACGTGACAAGTCATTTGGTCCCTTTGTGGCTGGACGCACAGTGTACGTCTCCCGTCACGAAGGGGTTAATGTTCCAGTAGTAAACAATATGATACAATATAGAATTAGAATATAGAATTAAAGCAGGGATTCACACTTCCAAAATACACTGAAACTTCCATCACTGCAGGAATCAAGAACACAATTTACCTCTCCTAGCCACCCACTTCATGATATAATAAAAATTAATAAAATATATTATTCTAGCACAGATGTGCTTTTTTTATGAATATAACATTTTATTATTTATTGCTGAATAGGGATGAGCTTAGGGTTCGGATTGATCATGAGCTTGAACCGAACTCAAGTCATTTTGCAGTTTAGAAAAATGGCGAACTAATATGGCTGGTCGCTGCTATAGCAACCAATTATCAATCATGCATTTCCAGGCCTTTGAATTGCGGTCTAGTGGCTTAGAAGGGTCAATTATGGTAGTTTTCTAATGTGTGTCAGTGTGTGTGTGTAAATTTGGAGATAGGGATAGCTGACAGAGTGTTCTTTGCAGATAGTTGCTGTGCTATATACTGCACTATAAAGTGCTGCATTGTATTGTGCTTCATTATTACAGTGAATTACAGTGTAGTGGGTTACATAGTCTTTTCCCCCTCCCCCTTTTCCTGTGTTTACTGTGCTGTAGTCGTGCTTGCAGTTTTCGGGGGAGTTTGCTGTTTTGTTGTTTTATTGGGGTTCTATGCTATTCCTTTATATTAAGTTTTCATAATTCTTTCAGTCAGGTTAAAAAAACAAACAAAAACACTATAGGGTTTGAGGTTTACTGCTTTAAGGTTGTGATTTAGGTTTCATTTTTTGAGTGACATATTTTTTACAGTATGTTAATATAGTTTTGCTAGGGTCTTTTTTCAGGGTCAGCAGAGTGAACATGTTCCAGAATAAGGGAAAGGCACATCACTGCATATTAGTGCAGTATAGTTCAGTGCAAGGGAGAAGCATATGTTATTCACTCACAGGTAACAGGGGGCAGCAAGTTCTGCATCAAGGAAAATGACAGATCTCATGCAGCCATCCCAGCAACTTTGGAAGATTGCAGCCCAATCAAGCTGCTTGCATACTCCCCAGACACTGTACTATATGTGTGGCTATTGTCACTGAAATATGGCTAATTTGTATTTCAGATTAAAAACTGCCTCATCTCTAGAATGTGTGGTTGTGGTGTTAGTGTTTTTGTATTTTGACATTTTTTTAAAGCTAAATAGGGCAAAATGGCAAATATTGTCTAAGAGGCATGTGTATTCTTACTTAAATCTTGGTACCCTTTGTGTATTTTCTTCCAGACCTGTAAAGTACTGCATGAAACTTTTCCTCTGTATAGGGGATTCTTGTAAAAATAAAAAAGACCAGTCACTGCTGCTTTTCCCCTTGTGCAGGGTGACTGGTCTTGCATTTACCCACTCCTGTAGTTTTGGCAGTGTTTGGCAATTGGTACAAAATTAACTTTATTTTTTTGGGAAGAGTAAACTCTCCTTTAGCATTTAGATCTGTTGTAGGGGCTACTTCCACCACCCAATTCTGGACAATTACTGCTAAAGAAAAAAAATCAGGTGTCGTAACCAAAACTACCTTACAACCATCTTTTTTTAAGTAAACAATGAATCCGACTGGGGTGTTGCTGCTGTATATAAGCCAAGCAATAATGTAACAGTGAAAAAAAATTATGCAACACCCAAACATGTGATGTCATCCATGCTATCCATGTGAATCATGCTGTTCTGTATTGCACTGTTTACAGCTTATAGGCTTCTCCCAAGCATGTATTAGAAAATAATTGTGTTTTTCCTGTATCACCCTTAAAATCATGCAAAAAAAGGAGGACCCTCTGAGTGTTTCTTAAACTTTTTGCATTTGTGCAAATCCCCCATGGCAGTGCCAAATTTCTATGCCTTTTAGTTGACCATACCCTTCCTATTAGCCTTGAAAATGGACAGAATTTATTTTTAGGATTTCAATGGGTTTCAAATCAAAGTTCACATTTTCCAAAATGTACAATAGGTTTGATGAATGGCCCATGAATCACACCGAAGCTGATTTGTTCATCTCTGTTGCTGTATTAGGCTAACCTTCCTATTAATAAACCAATGGGTTAGTAGCAGTGTCAGAAGGAGTTAAGATTCGTATGTAATTTCAGCTGCCTTTTACTTCTGTATGTATTGTTTGTTTGAACATGTGGTTTTCATTGCTTATGCATTTTTTTCCATCAAGTGTTGAGTCTGAATTGCCAGGATTTGTGTCAGGCTTACTTAGACTAAACATTATGAAAATAGTAGATTGACCTCATTTACCACTTAACTAGGTTCAAAATTATACACTTAGGAATTGTACAATTAGGAAATGAACAATCTTCCAAAACAAAAAGACAGTTGATGCCTTAGGTTCAACCAATAATTACATAATAATAGTAATTGTAGTAGAATAACTCTACTACTAGTACTAATAACTAATAATAATTTTAATAAGAACAGTGTGTTGAACTTTTAAATATGTTACCCGCCTGGAAATATACTTAGTTGGGTTACAAACACAATCTACCCATGTTGGTGGAACACTGGAACACACAAGATGATTTATATGTAGTGTCTATATTGAGTAACATATACTGTATGTACCATGCAGTAGCCTGTAATCATTAATGGATTATGGATAGATACTGCACCCTACACATCTACAGCTCATGTTGCCTCCATGTTACCTACATGTTGCTGATGTAGATGGCATTAATCTCAGCTACAGCAGTATTGTCAACCTTAAAATAATATTTCATGTAATCATTTGATAAGTCGACAACTAAGTAATCCTGAAGTTTTAATTGCCAAGCCAGTTCCATATTCCTGCCCATGAGCAACATGCTGACAAACAAGTCAGATTACAGAAATAGAACAGTGATCTTCTACCAGGAACCTCTTATAGGAAGTGGCAGCTCTCAAATGAAGTCTATGTAAAAACTGTGTCTGTTGTCTGCAAAATATTAATATTATTATATTACATTCCGCCTGGCAGAAGAAAAGATTGACTGCCTTCTCTCCCATGAAAAAGTAATTATCAGTAACAATATCATGCTTCTAATAAAACAAACATATATTAGCATTATTTTTAGTACTATGGTTTTTCCAAGTGTTCTGCTCCATTTTACTGCCTAGGCCAGCTATAAAATTCCATCCTTCCACTGCTAAACCCTGTCCTATCACGGTCCCCTTCTTAAGTGTGCTTTTCCTCATGGCAATAATAGCTATTTATTAGACGTAAAAGGCTATTATTGCCATAAGGAAAAGCACACAAGTAGCACTAAGATCACAAAGTAAACATTCTTATGGACTGTTATGCTTCTCTACAGCAAGTACAAGAATGCTCCTTTCTATTGGTTTTTACCTGTCGCATGTGCAGCTGACCATCAGGGCCAACAGATTGTAGATTATATAAGTGAAGATCACGGCTGTAATTGTCCCTCGGGGTATGGAGTAACTTGGGCTCTTCAAATCTCCTGGAAAAAAAATGCTTTGGTGAGGAGAGAAAGCATACTTCTACCAGATACAGACATAAAAAAGTAGAAAGGAAGGCAGGTGGAGGACCAGGTAGAATCTGACTGCCATTTGACTTCTGTAAATTCAAACGGTGGCTATTTGTGGTTAGATCTATGAAAAGGGGCAAGGAAGAAACACTTGAGCACCATTGGGAAACAATAGTGGCCGAAGAAATTTATAGCTCTTGTGTTAATTCCCTAGTAAAACTAACTAGAATGTAACTGCTACTTGTAGAAGGCAGGGATTATTTCTACTGTATATGTAACTATTCTATCAGACTACAGTATACAGTGTCAGCTGTGCATATTCTAGGAAAATCAGAATCATACCAGTAAAACAGCATTTAGAAATGCATAAACATGTGGCCATTACATTTCCAATTGTATTATATTATATTCGACTATATTAAATTAAATGAAACATAAAGCTAATTGTAGTATAGGCAAAAACCACCCAGTCAGCATCCGGCAAGCTTGAGATGCCTTGTAAACCATAAATAGCTTTTTTGTTACCTCTGGAAGTTTTGTTATATTATGTGGACAGTGTGCAAAGTTGACAGCTTTCCCTGTTTCTATTCCTATTAGAGTGTCTAGTTAAGTCCGAATGCTGCAGACAAATGGGTGGGCTCTTTCTCGATCTGGCTATTACTCTTTCTGAGTTAAGAGTGAGGCAGACCCTGGCAACCCATGTACAGTTTGGCGGCACAGGTGGGCACTATAAAAGAAGCAGTGACAAGGTAAGATATCAATGTGGAACATAGTTCTACTGTAACTTGTTTCCAAATTTCTCCATAACTCAATGTGCAACATGTAAGCTACCAGAGCACCCAGGGGAGAGCATGTTCTGGAGGGTCAGATGACACTAATCAACCTGCACTCTTCTGGGTGCTCTGGGGATCAAATAAAAAAAAAATGAATAAAAAAAGTGCTTGCTTAGAGTTACTGACAATGTTTGAAAAAAAAAACCAATATTGATTATAATTGATTAAATGATTGGGGTGGAGTTTCTGTAGATTGGGACAACTTGTCACGTGACCTCCAGAGCACACTGCACAGTACACTTTCAGGAGTGCATGTTTAGGAGTGTCACATGGGCTTGAATAACAGGGGAGAAAAGAGGACATGCTCCACTGTCAACCATGATGATGGAGCTGTCCCGAAAGACGTGCAGGAGTGTCACATGAGTCGGTTAGCTGTGGAAAAAGAGCAAGTGCACGGCTTTGCAGCATTGAAAATTGGGGTAAGAAAACCACAGCAGAAGACTGTGGATCAGCTGATATTATTTGTATATACATTTCACATCATACAGAAAAAATATTATTCCCATCTGCTCACTGAAACAAATAAAATAAAAGAGAAGAAGTACAGTCTTTAAAAAAGCACTGATGTTACCTGACATGTTGGATCCAGCCATAATCCCTGTGCAGCCATTGAACATGACAGCAAAGACGGTAGTAAAACTCATCATTCTTCCCGTAGTGTAATCTTGGGCATAGTGTGCTATGGTAAAAATATTAGATATAGTTATTTTCAACAATACCATACAATAGTATTATGAGACATCTATAATGGTCTTGAGGGCATTAAATACACATGGCAATAACCCTGCTAACAATCAGTTTAGCATTTTGATCTAGAACACTACAAAACATGTAAAGCAACTAAAAAGAATTCAGCTTCCAGAGGTGATGTAAGGGCAGGATAATGACTGCTGTTTCTTTGGGGGGGGGGGGGGGGGGGCATATCCACATGTCAAATGTAATTGCTCTGTGCACTATTTTAATGT